CGCGATGATGACAAAGGATTAATACCTGCCTGATCACAGATGGAATTTTGTGGAAAACGTGTAATTGAGTCGAACGTGGAAGATTACATGGTATAGAAAACATTCTAAGAATAAACTCATTTCATGAATTTCGATTCAAATCATGATTTTTCTTTTTCTTTTTTTTTTTCCCGTCTTAAATTATGATAATTTGGGAACAAAAAACTGTATAGGTGCTCCGAGCATGTCCTACAATTTATCAATGGCGCGAGCGATCAAAAATAATTTTACTAAAAATTATATATTCTCATATTCAGAGGATTGCGAATGAAGGAATATTTGAGTGTGGGGTTAGGGTTCATTCTTACACTCCCATCATTCTCATTAAATAATTTTCAGATTCAGATTATGTGTCGTTACTCTAATTTTAATGAGTTATAACTGTTGTGTCAGTGACCCTAGTTGTGTGCAGTGTTAGATGTGACTGGGCGTGATTGAGGAGAGTAGGAATAATCCTCTCATAGGTTTTATTGCTTCAGCTCTAATGAAATCGTACTATTGTGACCGGAATCCAAATAAAGAACCTTCGTAACTTTCTCTTAATTAACTTTGAATGGATCAATTACAAATTCTTGATTCGCACAGTGGATAATTATATTTTAAAAGATTTATTAATATAACCATTGTTAACTATTACAAGCTTGAAATGTAAAGTGAAAAATTGTAAGTTACACAACGAAAATAAAAATAAAGCTAAAGCTAAACTAGGACATGCTATCATGAAGGAAAGAGTTCACGTCAGCAGAAAGGTGGAAGAAGCATGACCAAGTTGACACTTAGCAACAAGAAAAATATTTACATAATAAACACTTGGCAACAAGAAAAACAGAGTGAGAAAAAGAAGAGAAAATAATGATAAGAATATTTTGATAATATGTAAATATTACGTATCGTAAAATTATATTATATATGTTTAATATATTATGTCGGATCAAATTATTATCGGATCAAATTGATCTAATATATTATGTCGGATTAAATTATTATCGGATCAGATTGATCTAATTCATACCAAATCTATTTAGTTAATGATTTATCGGATTAAAATCGTTGACGGATTATCAGATTAAATCTTTAATCCATATTCGAGTTATCGAGTCGGATTCAGATCAAAATCATATTCATTGACAAGTCTAATCGAAACGCCACGGGTCAAATAATCAAAATATGGAATCAAAATATCTTACAAAAAAAATGACACGAACTTGTTAAAGAGGGCAATTCTGCTTAAGACAACAAAAAGTTCAATCAGATTGTGGGGGCATTTACAAATAAATTTGGGCTGGTACCTCCAAACCTAAATTGCATATCTTAATAGGGCTTAAAAATAGTAAAGAAAGAGCTAAAATAGATCTGACTTTTAGATTTCTCTCGCTTGTATATTAATATTATTAATCAAATGAATGGCAGAAATGGTCCATCTCTTGATTTGTTTTTTTTTTTTTTTTTTTTTATAATTTTTTTGGGTTCTGATAGCTAAGTACTAGTGGGAAATAGTGAAGCCCATTTAGGATATTTGTGTATTACATAGTTAAGCCCATTTTGTCACTTGGGCATACAAACTTCCAGATACGTTTATTGTTAAAGCTAGACTAGGTACTGTTCGTGACCTGTGGGCTAAGGCCCATTTGGTTTTACAAAGAATGAAAATAGTAGACCCATCTGGTCAAGTACTTGTATGCATCTAAATCACATAAAGTGGGAATGAGAGTAAGAGCAAATTCGAGAGCGAGAGCGCAAAAGCGGCAAAATTAATTCACAAATAGTGGCAATGGGAGCGAAAGCGTACACGAAGCGTGAAAGCGAGAGCGTGCTCGGAGCGGGAGAGCGACACCCGTTAAGTAGAATTGTGTGACTTAACTATGCATGCGTGTGTAATAAGTTTTTTTTTTTTTTTTGGGTAAATAAAAATATTTAAATTTGGCTCATGCAGGTGCAATATGGTTGGGTCAAAGGAAAATAAAAAAATAAAAATATAATAATAGGATAAAATAAAATTTAAACAATAAAAAATTTATACTGATTAAAGAAAAAAGATTTTGTCAAATTGAGTTAATCAAGAAAATTACTTTCTTATTAGTAGGGGAAAAAAATTACTTCAAAAATATATTTGGTGATACGAAATGTTATTCTTTTGTTTTTTTCCTTTAGAGTACATGTTTCACAGAACACGCACCTTCAAGTCAGAAGTGTTATACGAAATGTTCTTTAACTAGGAGGGAAAAAAAGATATGAAATGTTCTTTACTGGTCCTTTTTAGATGAAATTTCCTTTTAATCTATGGAATGATGCTAAGGTACTGCCAATGTACAACCATAAAAGAATCTAGCGTTATAAAATAAATTTGATTATTTGTTTTAATATCTTTCAAGGTAATGAGTATTTATATTTGGTGTGTTTAATTTTATGTTAATGAGAATTTTTATTGGTGTTAATGGGAGGAACGAGAGTTACGACTAGTAATAATCATATTAGTGGGAGTTGTGCCTAGTAAATGTTAAGTTTGTGAGAGTTAATTTACATTTACATGTAATTGTTACATATATGTTGTGTAGTCTATATAAGCTCATGTACTATACGTGTTTTAATCAAGTGGAATAAAATAGTTCTTCCTCCATCTGCTTCTCTTTAAAAAATTGTTGAGTGTTGTGTGTGTATCTAAGCCAACTCTTTTCAACAAACTGGTATTAGGGCCAAGGGCGAATCCATGAATTGTAAATGGGGTGGGCTAATGGTAGGTATAATTTTTTTTTTCTTTTTTGGTTGGGCTAAAATTAGGTATAGTATAAAAATAAATAAATAAATAAAATTTTGGGTGGGTTGGAGCCCACCCCTGGATCTGCCAGTGATCAAGGCTAAGGTCAGAGGAAGAAAAGAAATGACAAAAAATTCGGTTCCATTTCAAATGCCGTGATTAACCATGAAAATTGGTGTATTTGTATTAATGACAATTTTGGGAGCACTAGATGTGTGGGAAGTTATTTATAAAGGTTATGTTAAGCCGCAAGATTTATGAGGCAACTTTGTCTCAAGCCAAAACATGTTTTACAAGCCATAAGAAAGGAGGATCAAAAGGCAATCATGACTATCCATCAATGTTTGGATAATGGAATGATACAGAGAGTTGCTAATGCAACTAATGCAAAACAACTATGAGAGATTCTTCAAATTTCCTTCCAAGGAGTTGATAGAATGAAGAACATATGCCTCCAAACTTTATGAGGTGAATTTAAAGCATTACATATGAAAGACTTTGAATCAATTTCAGATTATTTTTTAAGAGTCTTAGCTATTATAAATCAACTAAGGAGATATGGTGAAATTACCATAAATGATAAAAGATCTTATGGTTGTTGGATTCCAAATTTAATTATATTGTTATAGCCATTACAGAATTGAAGGATTTGGACTCCATGACTATTGGTCAACTAATGGATTGGTTGCAAGCTCATGAAGAAACGATGGTGAATAAACAAGAGTCGTTGGAGCAAGTGCTACAAACAAAGCTTTTTGTTGAACGAACAAGAAGTGGTTGGAGGAAATAATTTATTTCAATTAATTAAAACTCACAGAGTACATGAATTCATATAGACTACACAACATATAAGTAACAATCACATGTATAAACAAAATAACCCCCACTAACATAACATTTAGTAAACACAACTCCCACCATTACTAGTTGTAACTTTCATGCCTCCCACTAACACCAACAAAAACTCTCATTAACAAAAAATAAAACACACCAAATAAAAACACCTATAACCTTCAAAGACATTAAAATAAATAATCAAGTTTATTTTGTAACGCTCCCCCTTAAACTTGCTTTTTCAACTCCAAGTGAACTTCTCCTTTTTTTTTGCTAGTTAGTACTCACACACATATGCCTCCACTAAGGTTCGAACCCTTGACCTCTCTTTGAGAAGTAGGGGCATGGTACCGCTAGGCCACTAGTTTGTTAGTTCCAAGTGAACTTCTTAACTTGTGAATTTTGTAAATTTGAGGGGCTTGGTGAAAATATCTGCAACTTGGTCGTGACTTGATGAACTTAAGTTCCACCTCCTTCTTGGTTATGCATTTTCTAATGATTTCAAACTTGTGAGTTATTGTGATAACGAATCGGCTGGAGATTTAGATGATAGAAAAAACCCTTCTGGCTATATTTTCTTTATGAAAAATACAATTTTCACATGGTATTCAAATAAACAACCCATTGTCAATCTCACAACTTGTGAAGCGAAATATGTTGCAGTCACTTTATGTTTGTCAAGCAATTTGGTTGAGGAATTTGCTGAAAGAATTACACATGCCATAAGAAGGGTCAACTGAGATCTTTGTGGACAACAAATCAGAAATTGCTTTTGCCAAGAATCCGATATTTCATGAACGAAGCAAATATCACTACAAGAAAATAGGTCTTCAATGACAGTCAAATCCGTCACTAAAAGCCCTAAAACCGTCACTAAAAATCAAAATCGTCCGTCACTAGTTAGAGCGTCGCAAAAGATTTTTAGTGACGGTAAAAAATGACTGTCACCAAAAATAAGGGTCTTTAGTGACGGTATTTACTGTCCTAAATAATCCCGTCAGTAAAATTTATTAGGGACGGAAAGTACCGTCACCAAAAAGTAATTGTCTTTAGTGACGGTATTTACTGTCCCAAATAATACTGTCATTAAAAGTTATTAGGGACGGAAAATACCGTCACAAAAAATAAGGGTCTTTAGTGACAATATTTACTGTCCCAAATAATCCCGTCACGAAAAGTTATTAGGGACGGAATGTACCGTCACCAATAAGTTATAAATTAGGGACAATTTTGGACAGTCACTAATACATAAACTATTCGTGACAGTATTTACCGTCCCTAATAACAAGTTTTTTATTTTATTTTTTAACAATGGTGACAACTAGAAACCATCCCTATTACTCCAATTTTTTTTTTTTTTTTGGTGGGGGGGGGGGGGGGGGTAGCTACGTTTGATTCGTTTGTATGTTCCCCAACTATGTTTGACGTTTGTATGTTTTTTTTCTTCTCAAGTTCTTTATAAGAAAAACTCAAAACTCTTAACTGAAAACTCAAATCATGCACCATAGATGATATCAAAAGCATATGACATATAGAATATAAAAATAAACTTTAAACATCTTCTAACATATATGTTCAAAAATCAAAGCATCATTAGTTTTAAATGCCCAATAGAATCTGTAGTTGAAACACAAAAAAAGCTAGATATCAACTAGTCATAAGAAAGCTGTAGTTAAAAGACAAAAAGGGCTAGATATCAAGTCATAAGAAAGCTTCATAATTTTGTACCAAAATATTTAGCTCCGGCCATCATATTCGTCATTCGATTTGTGGTTGTAGTTGTGGTTATGGTTGTGGTGGTGGTGGTGGTGGTGGTGGTGCTCGTGGGTGGTTATGATATCGCCTCCATGGTGGCGGCGGCTGCTGAAATTGCCATCATGGTGGTGGCGACTGTTGAAGGTGAGAGTCTGGGGGTGATGGATGCTCATACCCGCTTGGCGGGGCTGCTTCTTGTTGGGAATCTGACGAGGATTGCTGATATTGCCACCATGGCGGCGGCTGCTGCTGCTGTTGAAGCATCTTCTCAATTCTTTGCATATATTCCCGCAAACCTTTTACTTCCTCCTTAAGTTGTGCATTATTTTCCTCAGCAATTTCTGCTCTTTTACGAGAAGCCTCTTCATAAGATGAGAATGCACGTTGACGGCTTGGAATCACGAAACCATGTCCGAACCCACAGGGATATCCTTTCCTGATACGTAGTTGGTTTTGCACTATCTCAACATCATTTCTCACTGGATTGGTACTATCAAAATTTTGACAAATTTGGGAAGCCTTATCCATCATTTCATCCTGCAATTGACATATAAGTCTTAGAATTGAGAATTGAGAATTGAGAATTGAGAATTGAGATACAAATTAAGGAGAGAAAGACTTGTACTAGAAAAATAGTAAAGGCTAAATTGATCACATTAATAAAATCAAGGCTGGAAGGACTAAAACAAAAGTTTTGTAACTAATCATTCAAAAAAACAAAAGTTTTGTAACTAATCATTCAAAAATATAACAAGTTCCATACAAATTCATAATTTCTAACAACATAACAACACTACATGTCATCTATCTATAGACATAACAGGCACAAAATAAAAATGAAGAGAACTATTTTATCCATACACAAACCCATCAGATTGCTGCTCGGAAGGAGAAGCAGATGGAAACACTAAGAGCTGCTCTTGGGATATAAGCACATCTGAGTATAAACACACACACACACACACACACAACACACATATATATTCATGCCAAAATTGAGCAAAACAGTAATGACCAAAACCCAATACATGCAAACATACAAAAAGACATATTTCAAGAAATCTAAACCTGAATAGAAAACTTTTTAGTGCATATTTGCAGAGAGACACTGGAAATTTTTGAAACCCAAAACAGATCCACCTTGAAAAGGCTAAAAATGAGAGAGAATGAAAGCAAACCCTCAAATTTTTTTTGAACCCAAAACAGATTCACCTTCAAAAAGTTCAAAATGAGAGAGAATGAAAGCTTACCCTTAAAACAAAAAATTTACACATGTATATAAGTATAGATAAATTTATCATTTTATTTGTTTAACTTTATTTTATCCAGTAATGAAAATAATTTCCCAATTGTTCGCATTATTTGAAGTAAAGAAGTAGGGTGAAACGGTCAAATATTATAAATTTTACTAACGCTGTACCGACTTCATGGAATTGGAATTAAAAAAAAAAAAAAGGGCACTTTAAACTTCGAACTAAATTTTCTTCAATTATAATTCCAATGCACCAATTCATGCAACCAAACATAGCATAAGAGTAATTCCCCTTTATATTTGATGACAATAGAATTCTCTAAAGAAGGGCTCTAATGGGACCAATAAATGACCTATTTGAAGAATAAAAGAATATGCACTATAAGAGTGGTGCCATATAAGAGAATAGGCAGCAGTACAATCATACTGCTGCTATGCTAAAAAATTGTTTCCAAGAGCTGCTCTTGGGATATAAGCACATCTGAGTATGAACACACACACACACACAACACACATATATATTCATGCCAAAATTGAGCAAAACAGTAATGACCAAAACCCAATACATGCAAACATACAAAAAGACATATTACAAGAAATCTAAACCTGAATAGAAAACCTTTTAGTGCATATTTGCAGAGAGACACTGGAAATTTTTGAAACCCAAAACAGATCCACCTTGAAAAGGCTCAAAATGAGAAAGAATGAAAGCAAACCCTTAAATTTTTTTTGAACCCAAAACAGATTCACCTTCAAAAAGTTCAAAATGAGAGAGAATGAAAGCTTACCCTTAAAAAAAAAATTTTACACATGCATATAAATATAGATAAATTTATCGTTTTATTTGTTTAACTTTATTTTATCCAGTAATGAAAATAATTTCCCAATTGTTCGCATTATTTGAAGTAAAGAAGTAGGGTGAAACGATCAAATATTATAAATTTCACTAACGCTGTACCGACTTCATGGAATTGGAATTAAAAAAAAAAAAAAAAAAAAAAAAAGGCACTTTAAACTTCGAACTAAATTTTCTTCAATTATAATTCCAATGCACCAATTCATGCAACCAAACATGGCATAAGAGTAATTCCCCTTTATATTTGATGACAGTAGAATTCTCTAAAGAAGGGCTCTAATGGGACCAATAAATGACCTATTTGAAGAATAAAAGAATATGCACTATAAGAGTGGTGCCATATAAGAGAATAGGCAGCAGTACAATCGTACTGCTGCTATGCTAAAAAATTGGTGCAATGGTCCCAGCAAAAGGAAAAAGACCGGTAAGGCCTACTCAAAATATGGTGGAACCCAGCTACTTCATCTAAAAGTGATTTATGTTTTTCTTTTTCCTTTTGCTGGGACCATTGCACCAAGTAATGGCAGATCCTAGACAGATTAAGCATTGCGGGAAACTCTCCAAGCATGAGACATACTGGTTAAGTAAATAGAATTATGTATATCCCAACTAAATATAATGGAAGACCAGAAAGGAGACCATTCGAAGAAAGTGAGGTCCGTGATTGTGATATGGTTTTTATGCCATATCACAATCAGCATGCTTGCACCAAAAGTTTATTGTAGTGTTTATCATACAGCTTATACTTTAATGTATGTTAATAAAACAATGCTCAAACAAACTTCTTTTTTTTTTTTTTTTTTCACAAGTTGTAAAATTATCAATAATAGGCATATTTTAACTTACGTAGTTCCGCTTAGCTTTCTCATGTACCCATCCAGTTTCTTCCCTACAATGTGTCTCCTTGTATAGGCGAATAGCAGGACCCTCCTGGTGACTTTCAACTTCCCCATCCTCTTCACTCTGCCTTTCTTCACTTTCTTTTACCTGCAACACAAAGTAATAGTTAGCATTGGAAAATATATGGTTTAGATGGATAATAGATTGAAATTGAATAATTATTGCTTTATATTACGTACATAACCATCATAACGTCTAACGAATGACATCGATCCTGAAACATGTGGAATGTCATTCTTCGAATGATTAGCTTTATTTCTTTCACTTATTTTCTGCATAGTAATTCAAAGAATAATAAAAGTTAACAAACCTAAATATAGCTAGTGAATCAATGTATTATAATCAATGATTTCAAATACATAGTTAAAACAAGTGGTTAACAATCCAAACCTGAAATTCTGGTGACATCCACCAATCGCACAAGTTTTTCCAAAGATCAATATGAATGCCTACATAAGGATGCAAGCGTGCATTCTCAAATGGAAGATGCTTATCAAAATGATTCTTCAATCTATGTCTATATTTTCTCAAACTTTTAGAAACTCCACCAGTTACTCGCTTAAAATCAATTTCACTAGCATGTGCATCCACTGCAAAGATCTCCTTTATAATGAAAAATTAATTTAAGTTAAAAGGAGCCCAATGATTCACACAACAAACAAAACAGAAAATATGAAGAAAAAAATAAGAATATCATATAAATATCAACACACAAATGTATCATCCCTTTGCACTGGAGGCTTAGGGCTCTACCTTTAAAATAAAGCTTACACATACCTTAAAAGTTACCATTCATACCAAAAGGTCCCTATGCCAAATTGACTCACCATTGACAAAAAGAGAGATGGTGTACTGTTTTTATTTTTCCTCCTTAAACTAGTGGATGTTCTGCAAGAAGGCATACCTTTAAGAATCCATTTATAGTCATTTGTTTAATTATTTTTATTTTTTTGAGAGAGATTGAAACTCACTAATTATACTGCAATTTTGCAAATTTGTTTGTGGTATCTCTTAATTGGACCAACCCATTAAATGTTTTATACTTGTGTCTTAATTTGTATTTAGGAGAGATGTTCCAAGCTTTTCTCACCAATCTCACTTACCAATTCGCAAACTATGGTGAATTGCGATGTGTATCTCAAGCGTACTAGAAAGACTCGATTTTGAGAGTTATCACAGCATACTCCCAAATACTGACCTATATTCTTTACCTTCCATTTGGAGACATTCAATTGTTAGATATCATGACAGCACCTTGCCAGTTACTTTTTAATCTTATTCGTAAACCCTTTTTTTTTAGCTTTTTATATAACAAAGAAAGGCTAAGAAACAGAGGGAAGATACCCATCAATGGGTACAGACAACCAAGATGCAGCAATGGAAGCATGCTTTGAAGGTGTAGATGCAGTTAGATTGTCTCTTTCCGATCTAGGACACCTTTTTTATCCTGGTGATGGTTGCACTTAGATTGATGTTGCAGCAGGTAGGAGGAGGAATAGGTTCCTAATTTTGTAAAGAACTTAATACTAAATAAGCGACAATATGTTGAAAATCTTTAAGCTTACTAATAACTATATATTTGCTGTAAAACGTTGGTTATAGGAGAAATTATAGGAGAAATTAATATGATAGTTAAGAGAATTTTAGATTTCTACAAAATATTGTCACTGGCTAGTGAACTTAATGCTAAATAAGCAAATGAATATGAATCTACAGAAAGAAATAGCAATCAAAGTAGAGCAACAAAAAGAAAAATGCCAAAGCAAATGGAAGTGGTTATATATAAACAAGGCTGGAGACAACTTTTAATTCTAGCATTTATTGGGTAGGGATTCATGTATAACATAGCATGTGTTGGTTTGGTAACATGGGACCTTTTAGTGCCAGTCATGGTTTATTTTGTCTATACTCTGTAGTGAAATCAACACTACAGTGGGTTAGACCATTTTAATTGTCAGTTTAGAAGTCAATTCATATACACAATGGAACTATATGGACAACAAAGAAATAAAAACTAGTTTGTTACAAGCATATAAATATCAATCTTCTGAACTTGTCTCTGTATCACCAAGTTAATTGTAAATTAAAATCAAATTCAAATAAGATTTAGCTTAATTATGAGCTCACCTAATCAACAATAGTATCGAAAGAGAAAGCACAAACACAGCAAAATTTAGGCAGCATATATATTGTAGCATATAAAAAATTATTACATTAAAATCTTTTGAAATTCTTTTGTTTTGATAAAATTAAATCTCCATACTCCTCACAGCGATCAAACCACCAGAGCCAAATCACGTATGCCAAAGTCACTGCTTGAAATTCAACAGAAGAGCAGAGGAAAGCACAAATATAAATTGCAATCTCCGAGATCTCTACGCCTCTTAACTCCTTCAGTTTTTCAGTTATAGATGCATTTTATTTAAGATTATGCGACACTGAAAATATGAAGAAAAAAAAGTAGTTTCTTAGGTGAAAAGAAAAGAACTCATTACCTTAAAATGGTCATAGCAGACCTGTCTCTCAGATTCTGGAATATCCCTCCACGTTTTGAAATTTAGTAGTGCTTCTTTATCTCTCGTGTGGATGCCAACTTCTGCCGTCCATAATTTGCTATTTTTTCCTACGGGTATAATATACCTCGTCCCAAACTCTACTGGAATTGGAACATCTTTTCCATAGAGTGCCTTAGCTTTTTGTAGGGCGACATTCTTCGCTTTTCCACAGCCTTTTACAAAAGAGCTTATGGTTAATCAATGATAAAGCATAATTATCACCTCCACTTGGTTGTGGCCTCGTCTGTGAATTACTATCGTCACCTTCAATACTAAGCTGCTGATTTGTTGAATTACTACCACCACCTTCTCCATTCTGTTGTGCAGCAGGTAAACTTATAGATGGTGCCTCAGTTTTAGGCAAGCTAGCAGGTAAACTTGTAGCTGGTGGCTCAGTTTGAACCACTCGGGACCTTAATACTCTACGCATTGGAGCCTCAGAGGTGTCCATAATTATTAAACTACCATGCTTCAGAATATAAACAGAAAATGTAAATTTAGTGATCTATAATTAGTCTAATAGAAATCAAATGGCAGAAACTATAGCAACATAAAAAATGAGATCTATCTTAAGGAATCAGATTCCATGATATGTCCGGCCATCATATTCTATTAAAGGAGCAAACAAGATATAAACATTTTCTGCTAGATATGATTGGAGGATGGTTAGTTACAGCCTAAAACTTTATATAAGTTGCATATCTATTAAAGGAGTGAACAATCAAAAGAAAGGGGAACCAAAAGCTCAAGGCACAAAAGAAAAAGCCAAACTAGCTACAAACTGGAACCAGATCAAAACAAAGGAAATAAAGTCCATGCTCAACATTACGTAAGTTTCACATGTCATCCAAATTAGTATCATCTTCGGACAGTAATTCTGATTCCTCATCTGAACTATAGTCAATGTCAGTTCCATTATCATTCTCGACAACCCAAAAGTCCTCATTAATTGCTGCTTCACCCCTACATTTTTGAATCATTTCAGCATCAAGAATTCACTTTCCAAATCACCCCTATTCAATGGGAATGGATCCATGTCCAAGTCTGCTTCAACCACCCTATCAACGATGCTTGGTTCATTCTCTTGGTATGCTGGAGCATTGAGTATTTCATCCTCTACTCCGGCTTCGACCTCTACTTCAAGTACATCAAATGAGCTTCTATTTGTTATATCTTGAACTACCTCCCATGTTCCTTGCAATTTGTTGTCTTTCACGTAGAAACATTGTTTTGCTTGATTTGCTAACACAAATGGCTCATTTTTGTATGCTCTACTAGCTACATTTACGCTCGTGAAATAGGTATCTTTATGTATACCACTCCTAACATCAAACCAATCACATTTGAAAAGAAAAACTTGTCTACCCAAAAGATATCGTAACTCAATGATATCTGTTAGAACACCATAGTAATCTTCGCTTTCTCCTTTCACTAACACACCACTATTCTGTGCTCGTCGATTTCGCTCCCTTTCCTTAGTATGGAACCTAATCCCATTTACAATGCAAGCAGAATATCGACTTACTCGACTTAGAGGTCCACATGCTAAAGAATATAAATCATCACTAGTTGTTTCCCTTTGATGATGACGCATTTCCTTTATCTATTGAAAAAAAAAAGTGTTAATCAAATGAACGACATCATTTAAATTAATTAAAGAGTATGATTTAATTAATTCCAATATGTACACGATGGACTTACTTGTTTTTCAAACCATCTCGAAAATTCTTTTGCATGTCTTTTAGGAACATTGCGCGGATCTTGTCTCTCAGGTTCTACCTTGTGTTTTCTAAGCAATTACATGATGTTAAGATATAATTGTGTACATGTATTAACAAATACACCATATATTCACATAATCTAAAAAGGCATAACATGAAATGAGTTACTTACTCTTCGTATGACTCAACTATTCCAGAATTTTGTAACACATACAATCGAGCCATCTCCAACTCCTCACGGGGTAATATCTCCAAATTTTGCGCCCCAGAGGTCGAACCACTTGCTTTAGATCTGAAATAGTGGACCAATTATTGTCGCAGTCCCTCTCACTATTTCTTTCTTCTCGATTGAACCGTGTCTCAATCCCTCCGAGAAATTTTGAACAAAATGTGACACATTCACTGTCCACGTAAGCTTCAACAATGGACCCTTCAGGACGTGCTTTGTTACGCACGCACAATTTGAGAGTACGCAAAAATCTACATAATCATTAAAAGTATTACAAAATTTTATATATATAACAGACCGATAAAACTTGTCATAAAAATAATGTTGGTGTACTAAAAAAATACAACACCTTTCAATGGGGTACATCCACCGATGTTATGCGGAGCCTGCGATGATGGCTTCACGCGGCAAATGCAAAGCCAAGTGGACTATAATGTCAAAAAATGACAGAGGAAATATCATCTCCAACTTGCATAGTACAATAGCAATGTCCCTTTCCATTGCCTCTAAGACATCCAGTTTAAGAGTTCGACAACACAATTCTTTAAAGAATAAACCAAGCTCTGCTATTGTGTTACAAATATCAGAATCTAAGAATCCTCGTATAGCTATGGGGAGGAGACGCTGTAAGAGAACATGTGAATCATGACTTTTCAATCCAGATATCTTACAGTTATTAACATTCACACACCGACTTATGTTTGATGCATAGCTATCTGGAAACTTAACCGATTTTAGCCATTCACACAGTTGCCTTTTATCATTCTTTGACATTGTGTAGCGTGCTCGTGGCATCTCAAATTTTTCACCATTGTAATACCCCTAATTTTAAAAGGATAGTCTCGGCATTTATTTATTATTTTTATTGTATTTTTCGTGATTATTTGGTTTAATTATTTTTATTTATTGGTTTGATTTAATTGTTTTCCTATGTGTCATGTGTTTTAAATTGAATTAAGTTATCTTTTAATTATTTAATTGGAATTAATTAGTTAAGTGTATTTAATTATTTAATTGGATTTTTAATTTAATTATGGTTTAAGTTACAGTTAGCTTTGGGTTGCAAATCACGTATAGGTAAGCCGCACTATGATAACCTAGATTGCTATATGGGCCGATTGACTAGAGTTTTACATTAGGGCTCTGGCTTTAATTAAACAAGGATTAGGGTTTAGGTTTTTACGCTTATATATACATAGTTGTAATCTGTATTAAGGGTTCTACTCACGTAACATAGATACAGAGAGTTACACTGTGAGGCTTTGAGAGAGCAGAAAGTTACACAGTGAGGCTTTGAGAGAGGACCAAGGGAGGATTTTGGTGGATTAGATCAGAACCAGAGGAGGCTAGAAAGTTTAGAACAACGGCGACAAGGTTTTGGTTATAAAACTGTACAGGCAAGTTCTTATCTTCCTCCTTCCCTTTGGCTTGTGTTCAGTGCACCTAGACAGCCTCTAGGAGATTAATTGGCCTTAAACTGAACCATGCATGTTTTATATATGTTTTACTTGATCGTTTTATCTGTGAAAAGTTAATTTACAAAACAATTATAGCACGTATGTTTTTCTTGACTCTGTTTTGGCATAACGTCCCACTGTTCTAATTTTTATTTTGAATCTTACTGAAATCAACCAAGGTCTGATTGGATACTAGATGTAATTTAAGACTTCAAATTTAAATTGGAGGAAGAACAGAGGGGTTGGGATAAAACTGATGTTGCAATTTAGTTTCAGTATTGTTCTTCAACAATGCTAGTTTAAATGGCTTGATTAAACTCTGTAATTGTTTTCAAAATTATTGTAAACAATCTTGGGGAATGCTTCTAGACTAAATTAAGATTCCTAAGATTAGTTTTTAGAAACCAACAGAGTGGTAGGAATTGATCAGAGAAGGAGCGGACGGACTGAAACGAAGCAACGGGGACAGAGGCTCTCAAAGGAGGTGAGAACCGGCTCCATGGATGTGGGAGCCGGCTCCCACAACAAGTAGAGCCGGCTGTAGGGAGTCCTGGAGCCGGCTCTAGGCTGAGAAAGAGCCTGCTCCAAATTTTGGAGCAGGCTCCCTTTTTATTTTCTGATTTATTTTAAGTTTTTTTTTAATTTTCTATGTACTGTGCTTACTATTAGAGCATGGGATTTAAACCTGTTAGGTCTGGGGTTCCACAGAGAGTTTAGAAGGCTGAATTTGGGGGTTATTAGGACCTTAAATTGATTAGGGTTAAATTCTAAATTGTCGGGACAAACAGTGTAAAAATTAAGACACTCCCTATGTTGTTAACAAATGGAAGATGAATTAATTGTTGAATTAAATTTCAGCAATTTGATGGAATATAATGTGTTTATAAAACTTGTTTTAGAATGCATTCAAGTGCATGATAAGATCATTTAATTATTAATTTTGATCTATGCATGCTTAGGAGGCTAGTTGCTGAATTATTAAATCGTTTCCTGCAACTATATGGTTAATGCTTGGATTTAAATTGCCGAAATATTAAACAATCTTCTAAAATTGTTTTAGCAATTTATTGGATAATAATATGATTATTTAACCTATTCACATGCATGATGGAGTCCCTAACATATTAAATTTGGTCTATGCATGCTCTGGATGTTAGTTGTTGATTTGTTAAATCGTCTCCTGCAACTATATGGTTAAATGCTTGGATTTAAATTGCTGAAGCTTTAAATATTTTTCTGCAATTATTTGGATGGTGGTTTTTGGGTCTGTAAATTATTGAACTGTTATATATGTTGTAATTTACATGGATATGGAGGATTGTATGTACCGGTATGGGACGGTGACATACTAGGGACGGTTTAGCTCAAAACGCATAAACCTAACCTAATGGATTAATGGAATGGATTGAAAGATACCGAATCCTAATTGTGACTAAGTCAGATCAGTTGTAACCAAGTTGGATGACTTCCTGGATTAACGGATGGTAGTTAAGTCATATCAACTGAATAAGTTGAGTGACTAACTAGTTGGTTTATTGTATGTCAGTTTAATAAATAGTTGAACTGCACACCCTGGATTTAGACGGACTTTATATATATGTTTATGGTACCACGAGTTGAGCTTGAGTCTCAGACTCGTTGGTTAGGGTACGTATATGCAGTGGATGCGTAGCTGGTTATAATAGGTTGAGGTGTACCCTGTTAGGTCTAGGTACTTATGCCCACCTTTGGGTGCGTATTCGCATGTTGCCTTCTATTCAGGTTGAGACCCCTATTATAGACTAGTGAATGTCCCTTAGTGTGGATATATTTATATGTATGGACTAGATAGATATTGTGAGGTGTCTACGGTGTATCTGCGTATCGAGTCACTGTATGGATTGCAGTTAGATTAGAACTTGCTCGTGGGTCTGACACACTCCTTTATTATTCTTTTCAGGTACAGGACGGTTCCAGCCTTAGAGCTTGATCGTGTTTGTCGAGGACAGTCTCACTTTCATCGGATTACGTAGGACTTCCCCCGATGTTTCTAGTATTATCTATTTTCAGTTTCAGTCTCAATTGAATTTTTAGTTAGGGGTCCATCAGTGGATTCCCAAGTTGTAACTTTGAAGTTTTGGAGGATTGGAGTTTCAATTTTTAGTTACACATGGAGGATTTTATTATTATTATTTCTTTCAGTTTTATTTTATCTTTATTGTTCTTTTTTTTGTCATCTGTGTTCGTTTTAAAATACTTTAATTGTTTGATATTCCCTCGGGTTTGGGCCTGGGCCTGATCAACCCATGTCTCGGATCCGAGGGGTATCACAACCATTACGCCTAAGGTAGAGTTCTTTTCTAATCTTCATTGCTTCTAAATCCAACCGACTTTTGAACGTGTCTTTCGTTTTTCCTTCGATGTCCAATAATGTCCCCAACACATTATCGCATATGTTTTTCTCTATATGCATAACGTCCAGGTTGTGCCGCAACAAAAGGGTCTGCCAATAAGGTAGTTCAAAGAAAATACTCTTCTTTGTCCAGTTAAGTTCAAATTTCTCACGAGTTCGCTTCTTGTTATTTGGTCCCTTTCCAAAACTAATCTCGGGTATGAGTTTAAGTTGTTCCAGAATATCATCACCTGTTAACTACTTTGGTGGGCCTTTGTCTTGCTTCTCACCATTAAATTGCTTGTAACGCTTCCTGAAAACATGATCTAACGACAAAAACATACGACTTCCCAAATAACATATCTTCGTCCGTGTTTCAAATAACAAGAGCATGTTTGTTCATTACAATTCGGACATGCTCGATAACCCTTTGTCATCCATCCAGATGCCATCGCATAGGCGGGAAAGTCAGTAATGGTCTAAATCATTGCTGCATGCATTTTAAAGTTACATTTACTATAAGCATCATACGTCATCACACCATCCCTCCACAATTCTTTTAACTCTTCAACCAAAGGTCGCAAAAAGAGATTAATGTCATTACCAGGTGATGTTAGACTAGGAATAAGCAGTGACATAAACACATATGGTTCAGTCATACATATCCAAGGTGGCAAATTGTAAGGCACAATCATCACAGGCCACATACTATAGGCATTGCTCATGTTACCAAATGGATTGAATCCATTAGTTGCTAATCCAACACGAACATTCCAAGGATCAGCAGCAAACCAGCTATGCCTATTATCAAAATCCTCCTAAGCTTTTGAATCAGCTGGATGTCTTAACTCATTTGTCTCCTTCACGCGTTTCTCCTTATGCCACCGCATGTCTAAGGTTGTATCCTTCGACATAAATAACCGTTTTAGTCTTGATTTTAAAGAAAAATGCCGAAGAACGTTTTGAGGGATTTTCTTACCCTTACCTTCGTGAGGTTTATACCTCGACTCACCACATTGTGGACAATTTTCTTTATCTGCATTCTCCTTCCAAAATATAACACAATCATGTTTACATGCATGGATACACTCGTATCCAAGACCCAAATCTCGCAACAAGCTTTTAATCTCGTAATGAGATTTTGGTAACACATTGCCGTCAGGGAGCATTTCCTTATATGCCTCAAGCATCATGTCAAATGCTTTGTTGCTCATTCGGCTTGAAACCTTCACATGGAACAACTTTAATATCGCTGACAACTTAGAGAATTTTGAACAACCTGGCCACAATTCACATTGTGCATCTTTTAACAATTTATCAAAGCTTCCTCCTCCCACATCAATTTCAGGCAAATCTTCTTGTTGTGCATTAGCGAAGGTTCCCATTTGTACGTTATCCAACAACTCAAATACATTATCCACATTTCCATCTTCATCTTGGATAGCTTCCCCACTAACATTAGCATCATTAATAACATTATTGCTGCTTTGAGGAACCTCCCCATGATATATCCAATTGGTATACTCCCTATCCATCCCATAACTTAAGAGATGCTGCTCAACTTCTTCAATTTGAATATACCCCATAATGTTTTTGCAACGACGACACGGACATCGAGACCTACGGTCTGACGCTGCATGACGACTAGCCACCTTAATGAAGCTTTTTATGCCATCAGAATACTTTCGACTACCCCTAGTGTGATGATGAATCCAAGACTTATCCATGTAATTGGCTAAAAAAAAAAATCAGTAGTTATAAACAAAAATCATTTGAAGCATTTGTTGAATATTTCATAACTCTTTCAACTTCTTCCATGACGGGTGGCTGGTCCTATCCTATTCAATAATGTAAATCTATATTACAATTCCAACTCACATTATCAAAGAGAAGTAGTTTCTGCAATTGATTATGTATTAAAACCATGTTCGCTCTCTCCAAAAGACTTGTTTTTCCATAAATCATGATTCAAAAATAAAAACGAAAACACCTTAATGCATGAATCCTTGAATTAATTTAAGAGAATTTACAACACATGCAACAAAAATGATGATAGATATTGAGATCCTGACGCTAATTACAAATTCTAAAGAGCTTGAGTAAATATCATGATAGAGCTTAAAAATTAAGCAAGTTAAAAGAAGACAAAAACAAAAGTTTTAGAACTTCTACCAATAAAAAATTTGAAAATCCAATAACTTGTTACGACTAAAAACAAGCAAGTTCCAACTTCTTTTCAGGAGATTACATCTTCTCATCAAAGGAAAAAGAAAAAAGTGTCAGAAATGTAGACATTGTTGGTTCTTAATATAACAAAATAAAAAATTGTATACAACGCATAGGCAAGTAGGTGACTTAAAAAGTATAAAGGACTCGCTCCCAGAATGCCAAAAATTGCTCAAAAAGTTCATAGTTATACATCCCAGAATGCCAGCAAACTATAAAGCATACCAGCACCCAATTTATAAAATGGATAAACAAAGACGTGATAAAAAAGTTCAAAAAAAGTAAAATCATGCACAACATATACCAAAGTTAATGTGGAACAAAATGATAATAAATGCACACACATACATGTTTTAAGTCTATGCATTAACCACATAGACCAAAAGTCGAAAGTGAAACAAAGATCAGAGAGGGTATAACAATATGATAATACAAATGCCCCCCCCCCCCCCCCCCCCCCCCACCCCCAACACACACGTACACGTATGTACAAGGTCATAATAATCAAAAAAGCAAATATACAGATATAAGAAGGAACGGAAAAAAAAAAAAAAATTAAATATAAAAAATAAAAAACACTTACAACACCAGTAGAAGAGTAAGTAGTGACACTAAACTTTTGGTCGCTCTGGTAGTCCTTGTAGAGAAGACCTGTGGCACGAAACAAACAAGCAATTAATAGAAGAGTGCTTGGTATTAGCAATCCATTCCAATGCCACCCTCCTCCTCCTCCTCATGTACTGTTGTCCAAACTTACCGAGTTTTTTTGATTATTTCTTTTGTTCCATTAAGTGGGAAATTAACGACACGGAGGACCTCCCAGAGTACATGAAGATGTGTTATTTGGCCATGTTCAACTTTATGTTGCTGGGTACCACATGTTTGAGTAGGATTCTGTGCCATGTATAATATATGTAATTTAGTACATAATGTAATTAAGAATATATCACTTTTCATATTGTAAATGATCATTATGTACACTTCTATTTGCTTATTTATTTATTTTGATAATTTTAAAGACGGACAAAGTGAGAAGGGATGTCGCAAAATCATTCATTCAATGTTACGTGATCAAAGTAAAGTATCAGAAGAGGAAGCAGTAGCACATGATCAAAGTTGGTAATTCTTTTTCACTATTAAAGGCCTTACTTACACAAGGTGGTTTTGTCATTTAAAACTTTGATAAAATCTACAAGTAAAGTCCTGGTGCTTGAAAAGGATGGGTGAGTGAAGTTATATTTATGAGAAATCAAATTCCATGCTTTAGCTTCTTCATGAATGAGAAGAGCGGCTGGGGTAAAAACCAAATATGCAACACAAGACAGACTATGAAGAAAGCACATAGCCCTTCCAACTCATGACAGATTGTGATGTTTTGTGAAACCACATGATCCATCCCTTTGATTTGTAGTTTGATGTGATCCCAATGAGCAGCAAGCAAAATCCAACTACAGATGTGATCCTATCAAACACAATCAATTACATCAATCCAAGCATATATGGGAAGATAGAATACAGTTGAGTTCAAACTTTAATGAGTTGACTCGGCATTAAACTTTAAATTAAAATTACTATGTGACATACCATTTAAAAGCTAGGCATGCCACTCATAATTTCCTGCGTGGAAATGCTTGGTGGTGGCCCAAGCAAACAAAGTGGCCAGTACTTGGGCTTGACCAGTACGCACCCACCCTAAGGACTCCAAGAATGTATGTCAAGCTTTTTAATGCGTCTTCTTCTTGTATGGAGGAAACTCACATTCTATTTGTCTTCTTTTTTTCTTTATGGGGATTGAATTCACGTTTAGAGGTACAAAAAATACCACTAAATTATATTAACATCCGGGCACTTTAAATAGATGATAATACATCTGAATAACAATTCAATATTCACATATAAACTTAAACAATCTTTCAAAATAATTAGTATGAATGTAAAGGATAAAATTTTCTGCTCTGCTAGGGTGTGGTTTGCCTTAGCCGCTCGCTAACATTATAATTAACTTCTTCTTCATCAAGTGTTTTCTTCTTCTTCTTCTTCTTCTTCTTCTTCTTCTTCTTCTTCTTCTTTTTTTTTTTTTTTTTTTTTTTTTTTTTTTTTGACTTAAATTGAACATATCTCTCTCTCTCTCTCTCTCTGCAAGATATACTATTTTTCTTATCATTGTTGCTGGTCCATCAATTTCAAGTCTGAGATTCAAACTCAGACGTGCAACACATTAAGTGATATTAAAATCATATTATAACACAACCCACACCATGCTTCAAATATTATTGATAGCTTATTATTTTGCTGAAATCCCAATACGAGTGGATCAAATTAAAGAGATAATAAAAAGAATCGACTAAAATTCTAAGTTGTAATTTGCTGGTACATATTTTAAAAGGTGGAGAGTGGGCTAATGAGCCTGTCCTCGATCTCCTCTTACATACACACAGAGACTAAATCATAATCAATCCATGCATATGTATCAAGCACAATCAATTACATCAATCCATGCATAAGTTCTTCCAAATCTGCAACTTCACTTGCAATAAATCTACAATTTCACTTGCAATTTTGAAACCCTATAATACGTATTTGCATCAAAAAATCAAAACTAATAGATACATATATAGAAAGGGATAGACGAACCTTGATTTTTTGCTCCAAATTGATGTGTATAGCCGTCTGGAATTCGAAGAAATTGTGGCTCTAAATGGCCGTTTGTCGTGTCCAAACCAGAGAGAACTCGAATAGAGAGGTGAACCAGAGAGATAACTTGAATAGGGTTTTTCGTCTAAAGAGAGAGAGAGCAAAGAGAGAAAGACAGGGCTTCAACGCGAGAGACAGAAAGCTAGGGCTTATGTGTAGAGGAAGTTGGACGCATGATATATATACACCTATTGACAAAACTAGAGGAAGTTGGACGCATGATATATATAACACCTATTGACAAAACTATGTCATTTTATAATGACACATTAGTCACAGTACATTTACCGTCCCTACAGACTAATTTTTAATTAAGTTCTCTATTAAAAAAAATCATTTATGTGGCGCGAAGATTCCCGCGAGCGGCATGGATGCGAGAAAAAAATTATTTGGGCTTTTAGAGACAGTAATTAAAGACCGTCCCTAAAAATAGGGTCTTTAGGGACCGTAATTAAAGACCGTCCCTAAAAATAGGGTCTTTAAGGACCGTAATTAAAGACCGTCCCTAAAAATAGGGTCTTTAAGGACAATAATTAAAGTCCATCTCTAAAAATAGGGTCTTTAGGGACAGTTTTTTGCCTATCCCTAAAAATGGGGTCTTTAGGGACAGTAATTAAAGTTCGTCCCTAAAAATAGGGTCTTTAGGGACAGTTTTTTGTACGGTTCCTAAAGGTCTGTCACTAATAACTCTTTTTCTTGTAGTGTATATTGACACAAGATTTCATTTCATTAGAACATGCATAATCAAGAAGGAGGTGGAACTCAAGTTCATCAAGTCACAAGATTAAGTTGCGCCTATTTTCACCAAACTCCTCAAGTTTGCAGAATTTCGCAAGTTAAGAAATTTACTTGAAGTTGAAAAATCAAGTTTAAGAGAGGAGTGTTGGAAAATAAACTTGATTATTTGTTTTAATATCGTTGAAGCTTATGAGTGTTTTATTTGGTATATTTTATTTTATGTAAATAAGAGTTTTTTATTGGTGTTAGTGGGAGGAATGAGAATTATAACTAATAGCGATAATATTAGTGAGAGTTATGTCTACTGCATGTTATGTTGATGGGAGTTAATTTCAATTTATATGTGATTGTTATATATATGTTGTGTAGTCTATATAAACTCGTGTACTCTAGTCCCCAAGTGTTTCAATCATGCGAAATAAAATATTTCTCCATCCTCTTTTCTTTAAAAAATTATTGAGTGTTATATATGTATCTAGGCTACTTATTTCCAACATTCAGTACAGTAAGTATTTTTATTTCAATAATATTGGATGATTTGCTAACGATGGAATGAATTAAGATTAAAACTTAATTCGACTTGTTCGATATTAGTTATAATTTGTGAGCATGGCCTTTTCATAATGATTCCTATTGTGTGTTTTTAGTGTCTCGAAACTGAAATTCAAAGAAAACATTAAGGGACTGTTAAACTGTTACTTAAAAGGACTTTTAATATTCATTTCATGTGTAATCGCGAGGACAAAGACGTCTGGAAGTCCCTCCAAGTCGCTAAGATTGTTAGTTTTAAATGCAAAGTCGTTAAGATTGTTAGTTTTAAATGCTATTAATGACTTGTTTTCTAACTTTCTAAAAAAAAAAAAACCAATATATGGAGGTTAAATTGTCGGGCACCCTTGAAATTTGAATTTGTTGCCCTCAAATTAAACATTAGCAAAAATTACGACATCCCCTTCTGATTTGGTTTAATTTACCGTAATACCCTTAATAAAATTAAATACCTAAATTACTCATCATCCCCGCTTTCTCTCTGCATCAACAATAACAACTACCTCAAATCGCAAACAAGGATTTGCTCAACACCAACCTGTTACCTGTCCACCAACAACGTCCAATTTGTAAATCCCAAGTAATTTGTTCAACAAGCATATATTACTTGAAGACCAACATTAATTAATTCATTCATTCAACCATTGCATGCATTCATTAATTTGCTTTATATCAAATTAAAGATATATCATTCATGCATGCTTAATTAAGGCGGCATTCAATTAATTTGTTTATTTATTGCATCTTCTTCCTTCTCAAATAAATTCCATTGGTTTATAGGGCATCTTCTTCAATCTCCTTTTTTTTTTTTTTTTTTTAAATGTAGTTTATAAGAGTATCTTCTTCAATCTAAAAAAACAAATTGTAGTTCAGGAATTATTTGCGCGCACACACACACATATATATATTACTTTACCCTAATAACAGAAATAGTAATAGCAGAAATGAGAGGCACTAATGTACCCATAATTTTAGCCGCCAATGGTGGTGGTGGGCAGAGGTGGGGCGTGGATGGTAGAGTAATATATAGAACCAATATATATATATATATATATATATATATATATATATATATATATATATATGTATGTATATATATCAAGGGTACGTAGAGAAAAAAAGTGAGGTTGGAGGTTAATTTATTTAGGTATTTGATTTTATCAAGGGTGTCCAGACAAATTAAACCAAACCTGATTGGGGGTGTCGTAGTAACTTCTGCTAAGTTTAATTTGAGAGTAACCTCAAGAGTGTTAGAGCATTTAACCCGAAATAAAAATGACTTGTTTTCTATTTTTATGGAGCTCTAAAAAATATTATTTTTCTGAGACAAAATTACCCTTTTGCATTATCTAGCGTTTCTTCTCTCTCCTCTCTTATCATACATATGGGTGTGTGTGTATATATATATATAACTAATGTTGTGTGAATGGATTTTGAAAAAAGAAAAAAATTTCCATACACACAAGATGAATCTTGAAAAAATATAAATAAAAAGAAAGAAAGAAAAATGAGAGAGAAAAAATCCTTTCACACAAGATGTATTCCGAGTTTTTTTTTTTTTTTAAAAAAAAGAGTTAGTTGTTTTTATATATACATATATATATTCTTTTTCTTGTTTTTTTTTGAAAAATCATATATATATATATACAAGATAGTTATAAAAAGAACATATATATATTCTTTTTATAACTATCTTGTGTGAATGAATTATTATTATTATTATTTTTCCATAATGTATTTATACAAGTTTTTCTTCTTCTTCTTTTTCTTCAGGTGGGTTAAACGACTCACACAAGTTAGTTTTTTTTTTGGCTGGCACCGGAACTCACCTAGGCAAGGCCTTTTCGGGATCTACCCCAAGCTACAAACCGAGTATGCTGTTGACGGCCCCACACCCAAGGTTGTTAAAATTGGGATTCTACGCAGAATCGTTTTGGTATCTGTAGAATCAGAATCGTAGAATCAGATCGTGAATCGTAAGATTCTACCAAATTGTGAAAAAACAATTGAAACTAAATTCTTAAACAATAAGATGTGTAAAATATAACAAAAATAAGGCCAAAACACACAACCAAATATATCTAACCTTAACATAGCCTATCAAGGAATAAAATTTAACATTTAAGAAATATTTTTTTGCCTCGTGAATAAGTAAAACGACTTTCCCCAAATTTTTTTACCCTCCCCCAAATTGTGCACAATTAAAATTACACTTAAAAAAATTATATAGATAAATAAAAAATAAAAAACCTCATTTACATTTCTATTATGAAGCATTTTATTATTAGGGGAACAAAAAATATATAGATAAATAAAAAATAAAAAACCTCAAAAAAGGTTGAATTGGGATTGCATTGGCTACTTTTCAATGACAATTAAATGATTGATAGCACGTATGCAATAATTTCATTCCATAAATCATTCTTTAACTCCAAGCTTTAATTAAATTAAATTTTAATTATATATATGAGTCATAATATTCATTATATAGATCTATTTGTCAAAGTGAATCTATTATTCTTTTTCTCAAACTTTAAGCGGATGTGTTGCAAATGGAATCCGATTTGAAGTTGAATAGAATGAATTAGTAGCTTCTTAATTGTTTGCATATTAGTGTATTATCTATATATTATATATATATATATATATAAGCAATAGGTGACCTATGGCACTTGAGAGTTGAGAGTTGAGACATAAGTAATAAAAGAAAAGGAAAAAGGAAAAAAAAAAAAAAAATGTAGAACAAAATAAAATAAGGTAGCGATAAGAAGCAATTTTATATACTGAAAAAAAAAAAAAAAAAAAAAAAGCACACTTTTTACTTGCTATTTTTTTAGTGAAGAAAGATGCTTAACTAAAGAAGGATCCGATGTGATTTATTTGAGCCTCTGCACTGCCGCATCCTCCTCAATGACTTCCCGGTTCTAAATTTCTATAATAGAGTCAATAGAGTAATAGACTAATAACAATTAGGGTTTTGTATTTTATAATTTATAACTTTCTATACAATATTTGAGCGAAGCCTAGCCCAAACAAGTTGAACAACTAATAAAATAAAGGCCCAAAGACTAAATACTATAAAAACCAGTCCAAAATACCCATTTTGGTAGAATTGGTATAATCGTGTAAAATCGTACGATTTTACGATTATACAAACGATTCTACCAATTCTACCCCCGATTCTACCAATTGAGTGATTTTGTTGCGATTTAACTCGATTTTGAGTTCTAAGTTGTAGAATAGTGCGATTCAGTCGAGAGTTATAATGGCGATAGACAAGTTCGAACCTGGGTTCACACAAGTTAATTGTCTCTCTCTCTCTATAATATATATATCATATTTATATTTACACACCCATCTGGATAGATGAGGGAAAAAATGTTTAAAAGATAATTTAAAAGGATAATTTTGTCAATATTTTTAGAGTCTTATAAAAATAAAAAATAAATAATTAATGCATTTAAATTTAACCAATTATAACCGTATCTGTGTCTGCAGAAAGAGTTGCTTGAGCGACTGCTCCTAACCCTCCTCTTTTCATTATCAACTATCAAAATAAATAAATAAATATTTTGATTGATTGCTTTATAAAAATTGAGGATCTTATGTCAAATCCTCTTCAAACTCTCCCCAACCACTAGTGGTCGGAGTCTCGGATAAAAATATAGAGTTTCTGTTTTTTAGAGAATAGTCTCATATATGATAGGGAAAGGGGGGGAAAATAGCCTATTTTAAAAGGTAGGATTCTCAAAAAAATAACCTATGCATGTAGCACTTTTCCAATATTATTT